CCCTTCCCTCCCTCTCACCCTCTTTCCTCCCTTGCATGCACATGCATATGTGTATGTGCGTGCGTCGGGATGCCTGAGCTTGCAAGAAGTGTGCACGTGCGTGCAATTCCGCGTGCATGTTATACATAACATGTATATCTATATATGTGGTAAAACCAACGCGAAGGGATCGGATGGGTGAGGAGGGGGATGCAGGAGGGAGGCGGCAGGATGCAAGCGGAGGGAGGAGGGGAACCATGATTATGAGGGAGGGCCATGTGGATCAGGGCTGGGGGAGACGGGAGGAGGCGAGGAGGGATCAGCGATGCCAGAAGAGGACAGGGGGAGGAGGGAGCTGGGGTGGCGGCGGGGAAGGGGGACAGTGGGGTGAAGGAGGAGAGAGGAGGGAGGAGGCGAGGGCGGGGTAAAATGCGGAGGTTGGGGCCGAGGAACAAGAGACGAACGGCGAGGAGTTGGAGAAAGGGGGGGTGGGCGAGGAGGAGGGCGACGACGGCGACGGCAACGAGGATGAGGAGGAGGAGGATGGATGGGGGGGAGGAGGAAGATGGGCGCCAGGCTGGATAGGCATGGTTGCCTTCGGCCTTCAAAGGGTTTAAGGGCAGTTCGTTGTCCAACTCCGTTTCGCTCTTCCGTTCTCCCCCAATCCTGCATTCCTTCCTCCTCTTCCTCCTCCTCCCGTGGGCTCATTTGACGGAGATGCTTTCTGACGTTTCTACTGCAATCAAATGGACATGCTGACAGGTTAAACTCGTGAGTTATTCTCAGGTGCGAGGGCTATTAAGAACATGCGCGTGCAAGTTGTGAACGAGCAGCGATGCCTACATCGCAGATTCCCCCGTCTCCTCCTCCTCCGCATCATCATCATCCCTTCATCTTCCAGCTCCAGACTGGATGGGTATGGCGGCCTTTCGGCACTTTGAAGGTTTCATGTTCTCCTTAATGCTTTTCTCTCCTTCTCTCTATCCCTCTCTCTCTCTCTCTCTCTTGTGGCGGGCGCCAACATGTTTCCTTTTGTGGCGGATTGCAACGTGAAGCCTTTTGTGGCGGATTACAAGTTTATTCCTTAGGCGACGGATTACAACTTGATTCCTGTTGCGGCGGACTACCTAGTGATTCATTGTGTGACGGGTTGCCAATTGATTCCTTTTGTGGCGGATTGCAAATTGACCCCCTTTGTGGCGGATTACAAAAGGAATCCTTTTGTGGGGGATTACAAACTGATTGAAATGGCCTCGGGCCAGTGCCGCCGATCCGGGGCGCTTCGGATAATGATGATGACGAAGATGATGATGTTGATGATGATGATGTTGATGATGATGGTGATGGTGGTGATGATGATGATGACGATGACGACGATGACGACGATGACGACGATGACGATGACGATGACGATGACGTTGACGAAGATGATGATGATGATGATGATGACGATGATGCTGATGATGATGATGCTGCTGATGATGATGATGGTACTGATGATGATGGTTATGATGATGACGACGGTGATGATGACGATGATGATGATGGTGGTGGTGTTGGTGGTGTTGGTGGTGGCGATGCTGGTGATGATGCTGCTGATGTTGATGATGATGCTGATGACGATGATGCTGCTGATGATGATGATGGTGAGGGGGAGGAGGAGGATGATGATGATGATTATTTTGATCATGGCGCTGACCATGATGTCGATCATGATGATGGTGATGGTGATGGGGGATGCTGATGCTGATCCAAAATGCGCCGTCTTGGGGGCCTCCTGGGCCTGCGTAAGCCCTTCTTAGGCCGTCTTGGAGCCTTTTTGAGGGCCCTTTTTAGCAGTTTTGGACACTGGGGGGTCCTTGGGGGCCAGTTGGGGCCTTTTCAGCCTCTTGGGGGCGTCTTGGGGCCTCCTGGGGGCCTCCTGGGCCGTCTTGGGCCCTTCATGGGCCGTATTGGAGCCTTTTTGGGCGCTTCTTGGGCCCGTCCTGGAGCCCTCTTGCGCCGTCTTGGGGGCCTCCTGGGCCTGCGTAAACCCTTCTTAGGCCGTCTTGGAGCCCTTTTGAGGGCCCCTTGAGCCGTTTTGGACACTGTGAAGGCCCAAGAGGCGAGCATGCTAAAAATGTAGGTTTTCCTAAGGGAAATCGATGATTTTGGCCGGTCGGGGCCGTTTTGGAAGACCTCTCGAAAGACGTGGCGGCGGCGCTCTTGGCGTACGAGCAGTGCCAGTGGCGTGGGGAGAACATGTCGCTGCTGGAGTTCCTCCGCAAGTCGGACGACGGCAACCAGGGGAAGATCGTCCAGTGGCTCCAGCGGAAGCACCACGCCGAGGTCGTCCGCGAGGGCTACGAGTGGTACAAGACGCACCTGCCGACCGGCACGCGCCCGAATGCCCAGTCTACCTGGTGCGGGAATATGCGCCAGCAGATGAAGGACACCGGGGAGGCGGGACAGGTGTCCCTCCGAGATTATCTGGCACACGTGGAGCAGGTCGAGTTCACCGTTCCCCACCTGGAGACCTTCGCGCGCGACTACGAGACAAAGGGCGAGAAGGCGGTGTGCTGCAACATGCGCTCGCGTCTCAACGATCTCTTCTACGGCCAATGGCTGGCGCTCCACGTGCCCTTCCGCAAGCGGGCGGATCTTAT